AAAGAGAGGCAGAAGATAAGGGCTTCCTCTCAACCTTTTGAGGCTTCCTTAGAAGTATATCTGAAGAACAGGGGTCATGGGACAAAACGCACTTCAGGAGACTTAGGAGGGAGATGTGCTTCTTGAGGAAACATAAACAACTCAAGCCTCTGTCTTCTGCCTCTCTCTAGACGCCATCCTCAATACACACATAAATATGCACTCGCACAGTCTGCTCCCCTTTTACTCTGCTATTTCTATCTGGGCCAATATTTTCCTGTGAAAGCCGCAGCTGCTGTGTGGGCAGAGGCCTTCCGGAAATAGGCAGTAGACTGAGTTTTCTAACATCTCTCAGGAAGAGATGCAACAACAATTTCCTCAGATATCTGCGTTTCACCCCCCAATCTGGGCATCAGCTTCCCCCTGTATTTTGGGACATTGCACAAGTGTTTGCACCAGGTAACCCCTTGTCTCAGCTGTGGAAGAGAGGGTGAGGAACACAAGTTGAAGGACAAGTTTTCAACTGACTGTTCAAAAGTGAATGTGGGAAGCCGGGATAGCATAGCCAGCATCACGCAGCCTCAGATCTGACAATGGGAGTGGGAAATAAGCAAGTCCTGGTCTTGTACAGCTGAAAAAGCTTTGCCCTGAGGTCAGGATTGCCTGAGTCAGAGAAGCATGCCCTGATTTTGCTGTATGGATTTGGTCACGTGAGTTCTGTTTCTTCAGTTTGGGCAAGAGCCAAGTGCCTGGCTCTGCAGCACAAGATTTCTGAGAATTGGGACTGCAGAACTCCAAAAGTGAGGTGTTGTGTGATTTAAGATGCCACCAAAGGTTCTTGTGATCAGTCTGAATGACACTTGAAGCATAAGGAATCTAAGACCTCATCTCAAGAGGAGATTCAGGTGATGTTTAGGTATACAAATCAGGACATATCTAGAAAACAGGCAGTGAGGGTGGAGGGTGTTGTGGCTATGAGGTGATTGAGCCAGAGTTGTGCCGCTGACACAGATACATTCCTCCCTCTCATCTTGACAGCAATCTGTGGTATTCCTCCTCCTCTTGCATGATTCTGAGTCAGCAGCATTCACAGCAAGCTCCTGCATACCCCACCTGCTTACCCCCATTTCCTCCCTCCCCATTACAGCACCTGCTTTCCTCCCAACAGACTCTGTGAAATACCTCGAATGCTCAGCGTTGACGCAGCGTGGCCTGAAGACGGTGTTTGATGAGGCCATCCGAGCAGTCCTCTGCCCGCAGCCCACCCGAACGAAGAAACGAGCATGCAGCCTTCTCTAGGACAGTAAGTGTGAAAGGGATCCCTGGGAAAGACACCAGTGGCCATGTCCCTGGAGGCTCAAGGTGAAGTTAGAGAGTGCCCTGGGCAGCCTGAGCTGGTGGGTGGTAGCTCTGCCCAAGGCAGTGGGTTGAAACTAGATGATCTTCAAGGTCCACTCTAACCTAAGCCATTCTATGATTGCTGCTCCTGAACCCAGGTGGTTAGGATCTGTTGCATCTGGTGGAATGGGCCATCCTCCTTAGGGACAGGACAGAATGTGATAGGATGAAGACTGTGGGCACCTTGTCCATTGCCTGCCCTTGTGCAGGTTTGCACCCATCTCTTGATGCAGGGAGGCCCAGAATTTCTTGTCTCTGCCCTCACAGAAACTGTCACCTTCTGCCATAGAAGGAGCAGCATCCACACTGCCCTGAGGATGACCTGCTGTGAGCTATGTAAAGCCACAGCCTTTATCTACAAAGAGTGGTAAAAAAGCTGTTCCTTATTTATGGGAAATTGCCCAAATAGCTCTTCCTCTTCTAAGTCCCTGCTCAGCTCAGGGGATGTTTTGTACTGCTGTGCATTGGCAGACTGCAGCTGAGCCCCCAGGACCCCTTTGCTCCTCACATTGTCCTTTCTTGCCCGTCTCATCAACTCAAGGATGCAAGGCAAAGCTGGCCAGAGTCTGAGGACAGAGAGGAGCGAGATCTTTCCAAGCAGGACCTGGCCCTTTCCTTCTCCCCCACTACCAGGGCAAAAGGAGGGAGGGCAGGAGTATGACTGGGCTGGTTTCATGAGGCCTGTTTTTGTTTTGGCTGCAGGTTCTGGCCCCATCCTGATGCCAGGTTCAGCCTCACATGCAGGAGAGCGATGCCTCCACCATCCCGGAGCTCAGTACCTTCTGGCGGTCACTGTGCTTTTTACTTCTGCTAGCTTGAAAGACTGTTGTGGGTCTTCGGCACTGGTTTGTCCATTTACACAAGTGCCCCATGCCCCGGCTGTCCCATCCTCACCACCTTTCAGATCACAATGAGACCCAATAAACAGACCAGTCCATACGTCCTTGCCAAGCCTGTGGTGCAAATGTTGTGTTAGCCAAGACAGCACGGTGGTCACAGGAAAAAGTTTCCTCATCCCCTAGCAAGGCTTTCCCTCCTCTGCAGACTTTGGGAGGGGCCACCCAGCCCCAGACTGCTCTCAGTTTGCAGGGTGCTGGGGACACCCTTTTACCACAACACATCTGCACAAACACTGCTGGTTGGCTGTCATAGGTGGTCATATTGGTATTCACACTTGGTCACACTGCCAGGCACAGGCAGAACGAGAACAGGAAGGGGGAGGGCAGAAAAAGATAAAAAATACAACAGAGGAATGAGTCACCAGCCCAGACAAATCGCCTCCAAGTCACTAAAATTAAGCTGGAGAGAGTGGTCCCAGCGGTACAATGGATCTGGCAGCTGTGAGCACCTGCCTTGCTGATGCATTGCAGGGACTTAAGAAGCAGAAGTGCTATGGGGTGACTGCCACCACCTCCGCTCGTGGGTGGGAGGAGGGCTCCGGGTGAGATGATTGGCAATACAAAATCCTGCAGTCCTGGGAGGGCACAGGGAGCTGTGGAGTCAAGCCAGCTCGCCTCTCCTGGATGCAGATCTGCTGCTGAATTCCAAAGGCTGTGTCCTGCACAAGTGGGTGGCATGAGTTGTGTCAGCAGTAACACAACATGGCAAAGCCCTTGGGGTACCCTTCTGTCAGGGAAACTTCTCTGAATTCAATGCATGGCTGTGTCTGGGTACAGCAGCTCAATGCAGTAATACGGTTTAGACAATGCTTTCAGTTATATGGTCTGATTTTTGAATGGTTCTGTGTGGAGCCATGAGCTGGACTCAGGGATCCTTATGGGGCCTTTCCAACTTGGGAATTCTATGACTCTGTGGTTCTATGGAACTCTAGCCACTGATATCTGCATAGCAATCCTGGAGGATGTCCTGCAGCAGCAAATTCCATAGATCGCACACGAGCTGTCAAATGAATTGTCCAAGCTCGGTTTAAGATAACATAAATTGTGTCTACACCAATCCAGAGAAGCAGAAAAAATGTCTGGGCATGCACCGGTGGAAGGGCAAGGGACAGATCCCTTTGAGATTGGGATCCAGCCTCCTTTAAACAGTGTAAACATTACTCAAATCACTGAATTCCCACTCGCTCTCTGGTTTCCAAGCTTTTACCATCATACTGCATTGAATGCTCTGTCCCCTACTGCATGCAGTGATGCAGAGGGGAGAGGCTTGCTACATGCATGAAACAAAATGGGTGTATCTGCCTGCCACTGGAGAGGCACAAGGTGAGCTCTCCTTCCAAGACAGCCCAAGCAGCTTGCACAGCCCCTGTTGGAGCTGCTGAGAATGGGACAAGGCTCCAGGCTTGTAATCAGGTGGACATTGGCCTCTTCTCCCTGGTAACTGCAATAGGATGAGAGAGAGCCACCTCAAGTTGTGCCAGGGGAGGTTCAGATTGGATATTAGGATATTCTTCTCTGAAAAAAGTGGTGCTGCAGGTGTTCCAGAGCCGTGTGGATGTGGTGCTGAGGACATGGACAGTGGGCATGGTGGGGATGGACTGGAGGTTGGACCAGGTAATCTTAGAGATCTTTTCCAGCCTTAATGATTCTGTAATTCCATGCTGACAAGCCCTAATGAGTGGACCTCTGCCATTATGCTTTTTATTCTTCTAAGGCACAATTTATGTGGACTGCCTGTGCAGTGCTGCAGCCACCTGCCTTGCCATGACAAAGACAACCACTGGGTGCTGCCCATGCCATTCCTTCCCCATTGAGGTCTCACATCCTCTGTGTCTCCAGACAATGTTGTTGCCAAGACTTCAGTTATCCTGACAACTTTGTAACTTGCCTTCACCTGCTCACCTTTGAGGACCACTGGCTGGACATAAAACTGTTGAAACAGATTCAGAAGCCCAGTTTTTAGGCCACAGCTAAGTTCTGATCACAGGGATGTGATTGTGATTGTGTTGAGGCTTGAACCATCCCAAATGCCCATAACTCCTATGCCAAATGTCAAGAGCTAGATGACTACACAGCACAAGGAGTCACAGCTGGTAGATGCAGCATAGAGAAGTGGTAAGAAGTATAGGGAAGCACTCAGAGCAGGGAATGAGATGGGGAAATCCTAATTTCCTTCCTGGAGAAGTGCTGTCACAAAATAACTTGATTTTTTATCCTGCCTCTTTTATTCTGGATCTGCCCCTTGCAGCACAGGTGAAAACCAGTGGGAGAGTTTGGGGCTGTCATTTTTTTTTTCCCCCAATGAAGGTGTAAAATACATAACATACTGCAAGGAGCTAAGGGAGAGAGAGCTAAGACAAACAGCCCCCTCTTTGCCCATCTACCTCCCCGCCCATGGGGTACAGCAGAAGCAATAAGCATTTGCATGCTCAACAACATCCCTCTTCCTGAGCATCTCACCAGCCAGAAGGGTTTGCTGTGTCCCTGCAGCAATCAGCAGTGGTCCTGCCTGCAAGATGCTGCCAGCAGGTTGCTCCTCCGGGGGGAGAGTGGGGAGGGAATAGCAGAGTGCTTTGCACTGCCACCCCCATCTCACAGAACAGAACCTGGCAGAGCCGAGCCACCCTCTCCCCCCCCCCCCCCCCCCAGCTACACCATTTCGCACCACACAGATGCTCTCTGCATCCCTCTCATCTCCCCTCCACCCCCTCCTTCCACCCTGCTCCTCCGTCACCGAACCCGCTGTCTCCCACCCCCTCCCCTGCACTCTCCTCCTCTCTTCTCACTCCCCTCCTGTATTTCTACCCTTTTCTCTCTCCATTTCACTCCTTTCTCCCTTTCATCCCTTCTCCCATCGCTCAGCCCCTCATTCTCATTCTCTGCCGCCTCTCCTGCGCCGGGTGCCCATTGGTTGTCAGGATCCGTCCCCCACCAGCTGCCACCCCTCTCCATCTGCCGCCCCTGGCCGCCAAGCCCCCCTCTCTGCAGATTGACGGTGGACCAGGGGATTTGTTGGGGTCCTCAGAGCCACTGATGTGGGGCTGAGGGTCCTGGCACCCCTGGATGGCCACGGCCACGAGTGGGCCCTGGGGGTGAGGAGGAGACGTCCCGCAGCAGTCAGGGATGGAGCGATGGGCAGGTCCAAGGAAGAAGGACTTGTGGCTCTGCTGATAGGATATTTTAGACTCCCTCCCTTCTGGGACTGCTTTCCTTTAAAAAGGGGAAGGGGAAAACTATGACACGGATTCTCACGGTGAAGCAGAGGAAAATGTGCATTCCAACGACACGTAAGTACCAGGCAGCTCTGTCTGCTCTTCCCAGCTGTCTCCCGCGGGCATGAGTCCATGCAGAAGTTAACTCTGCCACCCCACAGAGGAAACATTCTGACTCCCAGCTCTGCCAGCACCCTGCCACCTTGCTCAACCTGCAGTGAGGCAGGGGCTGTCCTGAGCTGGAACAGGACCTTGGCAAACAAGGTGGGGAGGGTGGCAAGGAGGCAGCAAGTTACCGGGCTCAATGGTCTCTCCTGGCTTTTAGCCCTGCTTTGTAGACAGGCTTTAGCATCCTCCTCCTCCCAGTCAATGCAGAAATGTAGAGAAATGTCTATATAGATATATAGATACTTAAATTGGTTGCACCAACTCCCAGCTTCCTCCTATCTCTCTGCCCACACCTGCTCACCAGCTGTATGGGCCAGATGTATTCTGGCAGCACCTGTTGGAAGATCCCAAGTCTCCTTCAACAGATTCTGTCCACATCATTAGGAACAAACCCCAAGCAGATGCCAACACACTTCAGTCCGAAGCCAGTTTTCCTTGCCACTTTCCACCTATGCAGGTGCTGCCAGAGCAGTGTGGATCCAGCCCAAATTAGGTACTGATGTTCTGTGGTTGTTCTGTCAAACTAGCCAGGGCATTTGATGTGGAGTTTGAGCTGGTAGATGGTGCCTGACAAAGTTAGTGGGGCACAGATTGACCACCCCTGCTTAAAGACAGAGTTTGCCCACCAGGATTGTACGAGCAGGAGAATTCATCTTCTGCTCCTTATAGTGAATCAGTGTTTCATATTGCATGCTTTAGCATTTTTATAGGGTTTTTGGACCTCTGAAGCTGGCTTTAATGTATTGCTAAACAACAATCTGAACAACCAGCTTTGAAGTCTGGACCCCAGATATTTCCCCATATGCTTTTCATACCATCACAGGTGTCCTCATATGTATTTATCATTTGTGGGGCTTTATCTCCAAATGCCCTTTTGGAAATTCCTGTGCATGTAGAAGGAACATCCTAAAGGGATTTCTAACAATGTCCCCACATTTTAGAGGATCATCTTTTTATGTACACATTGTTCTGTTCTCTGTTAATGTTCACAAGGATCTTTTTCCTCAGAGTAGACATTTCCTTCTCCTTCCTCCAACAAAGGCTAATGGGCACATATGTCACTGGAACAGCAGTGGAAAAAGATCTTAGAGCTTGGAAACAAGTGTCAAATTGCATCCTACTCTGTCCATTCATTGCAGATAATCATCATGCATGGGACAGCCCAGTACTGCAGAACCTCAAGAGGTGGGCTTCCATCAAGACAGTGTGTCATGTCACAGCCCAAGGCACCTTCACATAAAGAAATGCAAACAATTCCAGTCCTTCAAAGCTCATTTAAGTATAGCAGGAAACATTTATGCAATAACCAATTGCATAATTAAGAAGTTGTGGATGCCCCACCCCTGAAGGCATTCAAGGCCAGGCTGGATGTGACTCTGGGCAGCCTGGTCTAGTGTCCCTGGCAGGGGGGTTGAAACTGGGTGATCCTTGAGGTCCTTCTCAACCCAGGCCATTCTATAATTCTATGACTGGGCTTACGACATAGTTGTCCAGTTGCCTCTTCCTGCGGTCTGTCAGCTGAGGTTCTTTCAACATAAGATATGGCACACCACACTGAAGTCTGCTGGGTTTTGCCTATCTGATACCTAAGAACCATCCAAAACTGAGCTCTGCCCTGAGGTTTCCAAAAGCTGCAATGACATCAACAAAAAAGACAGAAAGTTGTACATCAAGACATACGTGAACAATATTGAGATCCTCTGTAGACTCCAACTGGGAGAAAATTTTCTGGAGAGCTTCTGGCCTCCTGAACATAGTTAATGTTTGGAGTTCTTTCCTTTGAGATCTCCAGGTTTCATTTCAAGAGTAAAAGAGCTTCAGAACCCTGAGAGATCTGTATGAAGGGGAACCTCAGGTCCCTGGCATTTCCACCAAGCCATCACAATTTCCAAGGAGCTGGTTCTCCAGAAAATTTTGCTAGAGCTGGAGTGACTCTGAAAACATCACACATCTGCCCTGCATAAGTTATGCCAACAAGTCTCTAGTTTGGACTCCGCTATATTTCTAGAGCCCTGACAATGACAAAAGGCATTCTCTCCCCTTCTCTCTCTCTCCTTTCCCTGCAGCTCTGCGCCCAGTGTCAGCAGAGAGCTGGTAGAGGACAGAGAGTTTGTTTGTTCAAAGCTCTCTCTGAGTGAGCTGAGAGTGCGGTTTCCATGCCAAAGCCTGATGTAATGGGCAATTGGGCAACTCAGATTAGGAAGCCTGGGACACTGCTTTGGTGTTGTGAACAGCTGGGGCAGGCAGAGTCACCTCAATTAACAGGGAGCAAGAGGAGAGAGAGAAAACAAGCCAAAGAGACAAAGGAGAGCTTTGTGCTTATCCCTCCTGAAGTACCCAAAATAATGTAGCTCTTATTTTACTTTCAAACCAGCATAACACAAAACAGCAACTCTTCAGCTCAGGTGCTGATCTTAGCTTCCAGGCTTGAAGTAAGTGTGGAGATGCTTTAATTTCTGCTGGTGAGGCTAACAACCCCATGGTGACCTCCCAAGTCCAAAATGAGCTTCAGGAAGAGAATATTCGGTGAATGGAGGATCCAAAGATTCCATAGGCACTTTGTCCCTGGATATCTCCCCCTCTTTTGTTCATAAGGCACCTGCTCCTCATAAATGAGAATTAGGTCTCTCATATCTGCTCCTCCAGTGCTGTAGCCATCAACAGAAAACAAGGAGTTTCCCCGTACCTAACCTACTCTTCCCGGATGATCTTTTCCTAGAAGAGAATATCCTCTTATCCCACATTGAGTCACGTCCCTGTTTATCCTGCTGTGCCTTCTGCACCTCTCAAGTCTGGATGGGATCAATACTGTTCTGCATGTTCCAGTGGCTGCCTGTACCCACTCACCCATCTCAACTTCCCACGCCAGTTCAACCCATAGACGTGAAGATGTAAACCCGTAGATGTAGACCTGTAGATGTAGACCTGTAGATGTGAAGGTTCTATCCATGGCTTGTTCAGCTGTCAAATTGCTGCTGTAAATTTCTTCTCTTCTCACCTCCAGATTGCTAATTGATCCTGCAGGGAGACTTTCCTCACCTTCTTTTCTGCTTCTGCTATGGACACTTCTGCTTTCAGCCTCCCCACGCCAACAGTGTCAGAGGAGGGGAATGCCTCTGATAGCTGGGCAGGCTTCATCAGCCCCAACAGCTCCACCACCACCACCAGCCCTGGTGTGGTTGTCAGCGGTGTCCTCATCCCCGTGGTTTACCTCATCGTCTGTGTGGTGGGGCTAATTGGAAATTCTCTGGTCATTTACGTGGTTTTGCGACACTCTGTGAGTGAATCAGTGACCAATGTCTACATCTTGAACCTGGCCCTAGCTGATGAACTCTTCATGCTGGGTCTGCCATTTCTGGCAGCACAAAATGCCCTATCCTACTGGCCATTTGGGTCCTTCATGTGCCGCTTGGTGATGGCCGTGGATGCCATCAACCAGTTCACCAGCATCTTCTGCCTGACAGTGATGAGTGTTGATCGCTACCTGGCTGTGGTCCATCCTGGGAAGTCCTCCAAATGGCGAACAGCACGAGTGGCCAAGGCTGTGAGTGCCACTGTGTGGATGCTGTCGTCCATAGTGGTGCTGCCCGTGGTGGTCTTCTCAGATGTTCCTTTAGGTATGAGCACATGCCACATCCAATGGCCAGAACCTGCCTCAGTTTGGCGAGCTGGATTCATCATTTACACTGCCACTTTGGGCTTCTTCGGGCCACTGCTGGTGATTTGTCTCTGCTATCTTCTCATTGTTGTGAAGGTCCGTTCTTCCAGCAGAAGGGTGAGGGCTCTGTCCTCTAAACATAAGCTTTCAGAGCGCAGGGTGACTCGCATGGTGGTGACTGTTGTGGCTGTCTTCGTCCTCTGCTGGCTCCCCTTCTACGTCCTCAACATAATCAATGTTGTTTGTCCACTGCCAGAGGAGCCGTCCCTCTTTGGTGTCTATTTCCTTGTGGTGGTGCTGCCATACGCCAATAGCTGTGCCAACCCTATCATCTATGGCTTCCTCTCCTACCGCTTCAAGCAAGGCTTCCGAAGGGCCATCTTCAGGCAGTCTCGCCGTGTCCAGAGCCAGGAAGTGCCAGAATGTCCCCCAGAAAAGTCTGATGATGAAGGAGAAGAAAAGGAGATCAGCAAGATCACCCAGAATGGCAATGACAGACAGGAGCGCCCTCTAAGCAGCAGGGCAGGAGAAAGCAATGGGCAAAAACCGCTCCCTGAGGAGACTATGGGCTGTGAGAAGAGCAGCAAGCTACATGTCAGCTATTTATGATGGAAGGGATGGTGCAGGGGAAAGAGACTGGGACATGGGATCCCTCTGTGCTATCCTATCTCAGAGACAATGTGAGAAGTTGATACAAGGCAATATTACAGATTATGCTTCAAGATGAAGAGAGCTCCATCAGCTTGTGGAAAAAAATCCAAAGCATTGTACTTGGCTTTGGAAGGGACACCTAAGTATTGTGTGGCAAGAAGTAAAGGAAGGGCTGAATCTAGGGAGAGCAGAACAGGATATGGGAACAGGCAGTATGGAGAGAGCAAGGTCTGTCCTATGCTGCATGATTCACCTTTGATCACCCACCTATGAAGAGCATCAGCTACTATGTGACTGGCACTTCAAGGGAATGCTCAAAAAGGTATAAGTGATGTGTGCCTCTGAAGATCTACAACACGCATCCCAGTGTCTTGGTTGTCTTCCTGTGGACATGAGAAGCTGTTTATCCTGGAGTAAGAACAAGAAGAAAAAATCTCTGCAGCTAAGACCCACCAGCAGCCTGTTGCATGAATGGCTGACTTCTTTTCAGCTCTTCAGAAAGTCTTAGGGACAACTTACCCCCTCACTGGTCCTGGCTGGAGACCACTCAATAATGAGAATTACACAGCAGTGCAAATGGGACATTTCTTTCCCAAACTCTACAAACTTCAAGCTTTTCTGGTGACTGCACCCTGATAGAAGACATAACGAGTAGAAAATAAGCCAGTGAGGCATGGGTTAGAGGCATGTTTCTTATAAACTGAACTGCCTTTTCTCTTTTTCTCTCCCTCAGCCTGGCTGTAAATAAACAAAATGCCTTTGGACTTAAAAGCCAACTGAGCAGAACAATTCTGTGTGTTTAGGAGAAGAGAGATGCTATAGATTTGGCTCTCCTGAGAATACACAATCTCTCTGATCTCTGTATAAAGGAATGTTTGGCTGGTACAGGAGATCAAAGTATGTATCAGCAGAGAATGGGGGCAGGAAGGAGAGGAGGCCAGAGGGATCTCCAATGTGTGTTGGAGGAGTCTGGGAAATACTAGCAGCTGATTGTTCTTGTGGGAAACTGTGGAGTGTTTGGCTCTGGATGGAGAGGAAATGATGTGCCTGCAAATGTTTGAAAGTGGTTGTATGTAAAAATTTGATCAGTGGACTGTATGTGTGTGAGAATGGCTGAACAGGGTCAAGGACTGAGGAGTCAGCGTTGGAGGGGAATGCATGGGTGTTTGGCACTGCGGGATGGATACAGATATGTACAGATAAAGATTTGTGTGTGCATAAGTGCATAAAAATGCAGGTGAGGAAGAATGTTTATGCAACTGTGGGATGTTTAAGTGTAGGCATGCAAGTATATATACCAGTGAGTGTGCATGTAACAAGTTGTGTCAGAGTGCGAGAGGGTGTGTGCTGCTGTGAGTGTTGGATGAGTGTGCATCAGCTGCTGGAAGGAAGCTGTAAGTGAGCCTGTGGAACAGCAGCAATGCACAAGGGTGGGTGGGATGAAGGTCACTTTTCCGATCACTTTGGCTTCATTCCTACAGGCTCTGTCTGTCCTCACACCTCGAGCTTCTCCATGAATGCTGTTGCTAAGCTACAGCCACCAAGAAGATTCTCATACCAGAGCCCCTGGTAGTATATGGGCACTTTCATCCACAGACAATTTAAAGTTCCCTTAGTATGGAGATGTTGGAGGATAGACTCCAGGTAGGGTCAATGACAAGAGCTGGCTGAGTGATAAAGAGATGTCTCACAGGACACTTGAAAGAAGGCATGTGATGTGAAGGATGGCATGGGGGAAGTGCGCTAGGACAGGAGGCTCAGCCTCTGAACTCCCAGTAACAGTACCAACCTTTTGCTTAGCTCCTCTTATAAAACACACTTACTCCCCTGAACAAGAGCAGTCATATGCTGAGGAGTGTAGGCTTAACTCATGGAGAAAAGAAAATGATTGGTAGCCAGTTTCTATCTTCTGCTACCTTTTTACATCCCCCCCTCCTTCCATACATGCACCAGCTCCCCACTCTGTAGGCTGTAGTGAGGCTGTAGTGAGAAAAGCCGCCAAACTATTCATGGCTGTGGGATTCACAATCTGTTGCACTAAAAAGGCTCCTTTTTTTTTTTTTTTTTTCCTTGGGAAGCTCCCACAGCACCCAATGGAGCACAGTGAAAAAATCTTAGCAGAATGAAGATGAACTGCTGAAGCCCCTGCCTGCCTAAAGGGTTAAAATGAGTAGAAAAGGAAAAAGATATGGCTACCAAGTAGCCAGACGGGTAGACAACACAGCTCTTTAAATGGCAGCCTGTCCTGTGCTTCTTGCATCAATGAGTAGAGCAAAGTGAATGTGGAGCACAGCCAGCACAGCAATCCCTGTAGAACAGAGGAAAAATGATATCAACTATGGTGATGGCTGATAGCCAGGGACTGAAAAAGGCATGGGATAAAGAATGGGGACCTTGCTGAAATCATAGAATCATTAAGGCTGGAAAAGATCTCTAAGATCACGTGGTCCAACCTCCAGCTCATCCCCACCATGCCCACTGACCACATCCCTCAGAGCCACATCCACACGGCTCTGGAACACCTTCAGGGATGGTGACTGCACCACCTCCCTGGGCAGCCTGTGCCACTGCAGCATCCCTCTTTCTGAGAAGAAATTTTTCCTAATATCCAACCTGAAAGCATCTGAGAGGAGTGAGAGGAGGCATAGTGAGCCACTGCTTTCCCTACCAAACTGAGCTGAGGCTTCACTTCACACGCCTTTGTAATTCCATCTGCTTCAAGTCACCATTCGAGAAACTCCACCAACTGGTTGACTTCTTAAAATACCTACGTCTCTGAAGAGCCCAAGCACTGCAATGCCAGCACTGAGCGGGCATGCCAAAGAGACATCATTTTGGTACACCAAATGTGAGCCCAGTAAGAAGGCATCTCTGCAGGGGATTCAGCTGTGGAAAGCAACTCTGGGGTTTTAGTTTAAATAGGAGTTTAAAGAAAAAGGTTCACAAGTATCAGAAAGGCAGGGAAGGACTGGAACAGATTGTCCAGAGAGGTGGTGGATGCCCTGCCCATGGAGACATCCAAGGTCAGGCTAGAGGGGCTCTGAGCACCCTAACCTGCCTGCAGGTGTCCCTGTTCATTGCAGGGGAGTTGGACTAAATAGCCTTTATGGGTCCCTTCCAACTCAATTGATTCCATGGTTGTATTTTTCTGCTTTTGTTTTCTTCTTGCTATGCCACATCCTGCAGTTCAGTGACAAATTGAGGAGGGGGGGGGGGGGGGGGGGGGAAATGAGATAAACCAAGAATAAAACTGGAGGAGGGGGGGAAAAAAGTATTTTTGCCTACAGTTCATGATGACAAAACAAACGTTACACAATTCTGCCAAGTATTCTCATCGATTAAAGGCTGTTGGGAATGACGAAGGTTACCCCTCTGCCTCCCACCACCAGCCTCTCAGCTCAGCGCCTCCTCCCTCCTGGTGAATTCTCAGCTTTCTCTGTGACAACAGTGCTAATCCAGTTACCCTTCTGATCCTCCTAAGGACAGCGAGGTTGTTTCTGGGCACCCCAGGGGCCACAGGGACTGTGCACAGTGAAATGATGGCCGAGTCCAGGAGGATTTGTTCCAGTCAGATGTGGAAATGGATTTTTCTATTCTGGGTGCAGAGGCACGGAGATAAGGGCTCCAACAAGCACTGTGCCGCACAAAGGTTTTTATTCTCATCACGTAGAGATTGGAGCTGCATGACTAGAAAGGGCCGCAGTGATTTCAGCAGTGTTGTGCAATGCCTCTCCCAGCAAATGTTTGATCACAGAGAAGGGTGTACGAGCTGCAGGGAGCCCACCCTGCTGAGAGCTCGTGTGCACACGTCAGAGAGCAGATACTGAGAGGCATATGCATGCGATGTGTTTGCGTGCATGCAAACGAGTATTTACGTGGCTGCACGTGTGGGTATGTGTGAATGCGTGCATATATATTCATGTCTGTGGGTGCTTTAATCCATACATTACCTGTGAGTGTATGAGACAAAATTTGGATGAATGCATGCCCAAGCACAATTTTGCAATCCTAACTGAGGCACAGGGCAGCTTTGGACTCATTAACAGAAAAGGCAGGGTGCTAAGGGGAAGAAGTCCTGCAGCAAGGCAAGGGGGTGAGTTTCCAGTTTGTTACCAGTGCAGCCCACACTTTAATGTAATTGGAAGCTGTTGTTAGGGAGCCAGTGTATTTATAATCAGCAGGGTAATGCAGTGGTTCAGCTCAGCTCAGGCAAGCACAGTAGTGTCCACTTTCTGCTTCAGCTGCTACACAGGACTCTGGAACAAGGGAGTGTGGAGAGGGGTCAGGAAGCAGTTAACCAGTTGTTATAGGGGAAATAGGGGAGCCAGTGAGATCAAGAAATGAAATATCCGTGAAAAGAAGACGCTTCTGCATCTCTTGAGGATGCAACAGAGAACCAAAATGCTTTATCTGCTTGAATGAGTGGAAAATATGCAAATATTTGCTCATGAAAACTTGGTGTGCTTTGCCTTCCCAAGCATAAAATATGCAAACGTCACGCAGCACACAGCCAGCTCACTCAGATCTCTCACTCAGTGTGTCATGCACAAACACACACACTGGGATGTCAGCGCAGCCAGCTGTGGCATGTCCCTCTCTAACATGACAAAAGAGGACATGCAGGGATGAAATATATATGCCTTGACTCATGTGTAGTGTGTGCACAACACAGACATTTCATCTGTGCCCTCTCATGGCTCTTCCAGCTGGCCGAGGAGAGACCAGCACCCAAACCTGCTGCCACTCACTGGGATGTTATCCCCAGCCACTTTCCGTGTGTCTTTTGGGGACACACAGTCCTGGGTCCCCAAGCTGAGCCCTCCAGAGATCTGTTACTGAAAAAGCATGGTGCTTTGCTGCATTGCTGTGTTAAGAAGCCTGTGCCCTTGCCCTCTGCCTGGAGGCTGAAGTAATCACAGAATCACAGAATTGTAGGGTTGGAAGGAACCTCTGGAGATCATCTGCCCAGGGAGTTGATGAAGTTCCCTGGAGGTGTTCCAGAACCATGTGGATGTGGCACTGAGGGACATTGTCAGTGGGCATGGTGGGCATGGGCTGACAGGTTGGCTAGGTGATCATAAAGGTCTTTTCTAGCCTTAATGGTTCTGTGATTCTATGATCTAGTCCAATCCCCCTGCTAAAGCAGGTTCCCTACAGCAGGTTACCCAGGAAAACATCCAGGCAGGTCCTGAATATCTCTAGAGAAGCAGACTCCCACTATTAGATATTTATAAGCATTGATATGACTCCCTCTCAGCTTCGTCTTCCCACGGCTCTCAGCCTTTCCCAGGCCCTTCATCATCTTGGTGGCCCTCCACTGGGCTCTCTCTAGAAGTTCCCTGTCTTTCTTCATGTGGGGAGCCCAGAACTGGACACAACACTCCAGATTTGGCCTCAGCAGGGCAGAGAAGCAGGAGAGGATCCCCTTCATTTATGCTCTTTCTAAATGTACCCCACGATAGAATTGGCTTTCTTGGCCATAAGGGAACACTGTTGACTCACAGTCTTGTGATGGACCAAATTACCAGAGAACAGGGCAGGACTCTGCTGACCAGGTTTAGGACCAGTACAGGACATGGCCACTAAGCAATGGTGGAAACAGCTTCAGACCCCTGGCATCAGGCTGGTTCCATACCCATCTTAGGCAGGAGGGCTCCTAAGGAGGAGTGACAGAAGAAAACAAGTTGCAAGGTGAACAGCTCTCTTAGCTGCTCCTCAGCCACGTGGCATTTAAACAACACACACACACACAAAAAAAAAAAGACAGTGCAGCAGCTTTGGCAGGCCTTGATGTCTGTGTGAGGAAGCCCAGGCCGCCACGCTGACAGAGCAGCCCCAGCAGGAATCGCTGCTGGCAGAAGTGCCCTCACACGCTGCGGCTGCCTGCGTAAGGCCAAGGAACGTGTCATTGCTTTCTGAGCCAGGCCCTGCTTGAGCAGCAGCTATGAGTGAAATGCAGCCACGCAGATAGCTTCTAGCAAGCCTGCACATCCTCAGCCGTCCCTGCCAAAGGGTTTCACGCAGAGGCAGTGCTCCTGGGGAGCAGGGATTGGCTGATGCACAAGCCCGCAGGCTGGGCAAGGTTTGTTTTCCCATCCCGCTCTGCAGTTAGGCCTGCGATGATCAGGGATCTAGAGAACACAGAGGGCACGCTGGTGTTGTGGGGTGACTCGGGAGCGCCCCAAAGCATTGCAGCATGGAAACTCACTGTTACCTCTGTTACCAGTGATAGGACAAGGGGGAATAGTTTTAAAGCAAGACAGGGGAGGTTTAGGTTAGATTTTAGGAGGAAGTTTTTCACACAGAGGGTGATGAAGCACTGGAACAGGTTGCCCAAGGAGGCTGTGGATGCCCCATCCCTGGAGGTATTCAAGGCCAGGCTGGATGTGGCTCTGGGCAGCCTGGTCTGGTGATTGGTGACCCTGCACATAGCAGAGGGTAGAAACTAGATGATCACTGTGATCCTTTTCAACCCAGGCCGTTCCATGATTCTGTGATTATCCTTCTGTACTGCAAGTTTCTCCTCCCCATCTGCAGGCACTGAACTTCCCACCTCTGTCTGTGCCTCACTCTCCACTTTTGGAAAATGAGACGGATAATGGAGGAAGAGTCAGCACAATGTTTCTTTCTGGGATCAATACGAGGGCCACCACCGGAGTTGAGCAGTGATGGAGAGGAGCTGAGCACAGAGCCACGCTGCTCACTGGTCCCGTGCTCTTGGAGCATGTGCTCTCCCTTCCTAAGGGCAGCAGAAGCAGTAGCCAGGAGCAGGAACTTTGCTTCCAGAAAGGATCAGCTGTTTTGCTGAGCAAAGCGTGAGGCGGGTGGAAGGAAGGAGGGAGGGAGCGCGAGCCAAGCCTGACACGGGGCAGCGTGGGGGGGAGGCACTCACCAAGGCCTCCGAGGCAGGATGGAAAGGACGATAATTACATAAGAGCACTTGGCGAGCATCTGGCTGGAGTCAGCTGGGCCCCGCCAGCTCTCCCTCCCTCCCTCCTTCCATCCTTCCCTCCCTCGCTCCCTTCCTCCCTGCACTGCTAACCAGGAGCAGCTGAGGATACACCAAACCCAACGCGGGACTCCTCTGCGGAGGGGCACAGAGGTAAGAGCTGTTCTGCTTCCCCTTCCTGCTTGTGCTGCTCTAGGGGAGCAGGGGAAGAGAGATGGGGAAGGGGAAAACTGCCCTTCTCCAGGGGAAGCAGCCTAGAAGGAGAATAGAAGGGGCTGCTCCTCTGCCTCTTGATGCTGACAATGCCTTTTCTCCAGAGGGTTGACAGATGGAAGAGATGCACGGTAGTGTTTGTGGGTAGATGTGTGCATGGGCAGCAGGGCAGGGGGTCCATGTGCAGGAGGAGCTGAGCTGTACACAGGGGGTGGGAAGGGGAGTAAACGGCAAGGAGCTTCCTTCCTTCGGTGCTTGTGGCAGATAGGGTTAATAGGATGTGGGGAGTGGCTGAGGGAGGGCCAGGCTTACCCCCTGCCCAGTCCTTTGTGGAGAAGGTTGCAGGAGAAGGGAGGAAATGCAGGAGGAGGAAGCAGCTGCTTTTGAGCAAGGGTTGCTGTTGTCCAATCTGGCCAGAGCTTCCCTGGGCTGCCTCCAAGGCAGTGTGTGAGGAGAGAGCTGGAGGACAGCTGAGCACACACACATGGTGCCTGCAGGTTGGGCTACGCTCAGCAGAGTGCCTGGCATGTGGACAGAGGAGAGTGCTCTCAAAACCCATACACTGGAGCACTTGGCCACACAAGCCAGAACCTCTTGGAAAAGTGTCTGCACCAGCAAAACAGTGGTGGTGCAGCCCACTGCTTTCAGAGAGAAGTGCAATATTGCCCCGACAAAGGTGTTTTTATTGGCATTAACTGCTGCCTAGTAGGGTAATATCACCAGAGCAAGTCTTGGAATCAGAATTGTTTGAGTTCTAAGGGATCCTTAAAGGTCATCTAGTCCAATTCCCCTGCAATGAATAGGAACACCCACTGCTTGATCAGGGTGTTCAGAGCCCCTCCAGCCTGACCTCGGATGTCTTCAAGGATGGGACATCCATCACCTCTCTGGCCAACCTGTCCCAGTGCTTCACTACCCCTTACTGTAAACAACTTCTTCCTTACACACAATCTAAATGTTCCCTCTTTTAGTACAAAACCATTTCCCCTTGTCTTTGTTTGCTGGCTCCTTGAGTGTCTCAGTTCAGTTTTGGAAAGACATTAGGTACAAAGTCCTGCTCACAGACAAGAACATGGCAGGGGCCTTTCCAACAGGGTGCTCAGGTAGGAACTAGATGATCTTTAAGGTCCCTTCCAACCCAAGCCATTCTATAATTCTGTGATTCTCCATGAAGAACATTTGCTAGTTTGAGAGCAAATCAATGTGCAAATGGAGAGGTGGGAGGGAAATGGGGGCAAACACCTTCCTTCTGCCTGCTCTGTTGGAAAGGTAGAGATAAGGCAGAGGTGAGGCAGGGAGCTGCAAAAAGGGGGAGTGTCATTTCCAAGTCATGCTTGGAAATGAGGCAGGCAGGGAAATCTGAGAGAGAGGGGAGTGACTCCGTCCTGGGAGCTCATGAACAGGGCAGTGAGTGCCGTGGGGCTGCTCTGGTCATGGATGGACGTTTGCTTTGTGCTCATTAAGTTGCAGGCTGACAGACAGCCCAAGAGTATCTCCAGCCCTCCCAGCCCCCTCCTTCCCATCCCCCCAGTTCACAGCACATATTTTCCCAGACTTTTCCGTTTGCTCCTCCAATGGTGCTGGGGTCCTGCCAAGCGCCAGCCACTCTCTGGGAAGCGAGGGCCTCCCATTCCCAAACCGCATAACTGGGAGAAGTAAAACAAAACCAAAAACAAATATCCAAGAACACGTAGACACGCACAAAACCCTTTTCCCTGCAGAAATGTGGGAGTTTTCTCCAGATTCCCTTGGCAAATGTACAGTGCTGACTTGCCACTTTGGGCCCCTGCAGAAAGGATTACTGCCCATCCTTCCTCCTGCCACATATATGCACTCTTATAGGGTATAAAATCTTAAATCCACCTTTGCCACAGTTAAGGAACCCTAAAGTCTTCCTCCCTCCAAACTCCCAGTGCAGCCACACAGCTCTCACCCAAAGGGCACAAGGCACTTGGCACCAGGCTGGGGCAGAGACCACTACATGATTTGCTGCAGAGCCTCAGCTTTGGCAAGCAGCAACAGAGCTGAGCTTGGGGCCGGCACACCCCTGCCACGCAAACCTCTCTGCCTAGGACGTGACCTTTCTGTGACACGTGCCCAAGTGTGAGACTTGGGGCTCTGCCTGGGGAAGGATGACCAGAGAGGAAAAAAGACGGTGCCTCTCCCAGTTGGCAAATGAGCCTGCTAGAAAAAGCATGACTGGGGTGAGAAACTGCAGTGATGCGCAAAGAGGAACCATGCAGAAGAGAATGAAAGATGAAGTTTGGGAGAAAGCGTGGGCTGTCAGGTAAAGGGCTGAGGAGGGCTAACACAGAAGTTCGGCAAACAGGGAAGAATCCTGCACCATCGCACCCCAAGATGCTTGGTGTGAGATGCTCCCCTTCTGCCTTACCCACTCTTTTCAGAGAGTGCAATCCATTCCAGAAGACAAAAGGCAGGGGAGGAAAAAAAGGGAAACGAACCACCTAGGAAAGGGTTAAGAGGCACTGCTACCCAAGTCAGTCTGCAATGTGCCCAAAGCCAGGGAGGGAAAAGGAGGGGAGGAGAGGGGAGGGAGCAGGTCCAATCCCAGGCCATGCACCCTGCCAGCATTCAAAAGCCACTGCCAAGCGCAGGCTCTTAAAGCCATGGGTCCCGAGGCTGGCTTTACAGGCAGAGGGCAGCCAGCAAGCAGGGGGGCTGGAGAGCACAGCAGGAAGGCTTCGGCACCCAGGGTGAGCTGCACTGGGGTGTGGGCAGAAGCAGGGTGGGCAGCAGCTGAGTGGGGAGTGTCTGAGCATGCTTGCATGTCTGTCTTTTGCATACACACTTGTCTGAAAGCTGCCTGCTCTGCTCTGCTTGCTCTCTCTCTCCAGTGCAGCAACTCTACTCCAGACCTTTTGCAAGAGTCAGTCATCCCTTCAGGTGAGGTGCTGGGGTTTTGCTCTCCTCCTGTGACAGAAGGGAAGTGAGGAGCTGAAACGCTACTGAGCACTGGGACAGGAATTGGAAGATCTCAGGAAAGCACTTCCCAGAGAGGTGGTGGATGCCCTGTCCCTGTAGGCATTCAAGGTCAGTCTGGAGAGACTCTGAGCACCTTTATCTGCCTGTGGGTGTCCCTGTTCATTGCAGGGGAGTTGGATCAGATGAGTTTTAAGGGTTTCTTCCAACTCAAATAATTCTATGATTCTGTGGTGGGGGGCCAAGGAACACAGTGGGATGAGATATGGTGTTAGAGAAAAGAGAGTCTGGAGTGAAGTCTCTCTGCACGGAAACGTGGGTCTGACTCCTGCTGGGATATTGAGTTAACTTTGTGAATAGCTGACAGCTACTGACTGGAAGTCTGGACAAGTTTTTCACAGCTGTCCTCACAGATTCAGCATCCTATTGTAGTGTGCTTTTGCTGAAGGAGCTGTGTGGTTTTCTGCACCTTCTTTCTCTATCCCACCTTGGCAGCTTTGAGTGGCTCCAGTGGTTTGCCAGCTGGGATGAGTGGCTCCAGTGGTTTGCCTAGTGACAGGCTTTGAGGCTCAAGCCTTCCATCAGGGCTAGCAGCCAATCTTTGTTGGTCTGGGCTGAAGGGTGTGGGGCATCCTCCTGGGGCCATGTGCTTGCTACACAGATTGCAGCCTTGAGTCTCCAGAGACACCAAGCATGTATCTCCCTCACAGGGCAGTGCCATTCTGTCCCATCACTGGCTCCAGCCACCAAGATTTATTGTTTCTTGGTGATCTCTGCTCTATCCCCCATGTCCTTCCCTTCTTATGCTTAACTCTGGCACTTTTTCATATCTTCCCAGGTCACCATGGACATAATTTACCTACGCACACCCCTGGCCTTCCTCCTTCTTCCTCTTGTTGTGCTTGGGGCACCCACTGATGAACTCCAGCTCACAGAACCTGCCCCTGGTGCTTGCAGGCGCTGCTGTGACCCACCAGACTCTTCTGCAGATGCCCCACCACCGACTTCAAGCCACCACCACCTGCCCTACCCAATGCCAGAGATCCGTCCCTATATCAATATCACTATACTGAAGGGTGAGTGCTCATCTTGGCCCCAAAGTGCCAAGACCAGTTAACCTAGCACACATGGGGAAACAAAGCTTAAATCTGGGAGGCTAGAAACTCTGCTGGATACTGCTCTGACCTTCACTTTCTCTATACACAAAAAGTGAGTTCTGTTGCTCTTCTCGATGTTTTTATGTCTGCCCAAACCTGTGACAAGCAACACACCAACACCACTTTGGAAGGAGGAACACTTTATCAACAGGGTAAAGCTACAGTATTAGTTACAGAGGATGCCCAAATTATATTGATATTGTCAAAGTACCAGCCCTCTAACCTACACTGCATCACTCATAAAGTTCAGTTTGGATCTTTTCCCACTGACCAGTTAAGTTTGGACACTGTCTCTTCAACCTCACTCCTTCTTCCTCTCTAGTCATATTCTCTTACATATGCTAGCACTTCTCCACAGTCATCTTGTATGCAGTCATCTTGTATGCCCAAACCAGTGACAGCAGCATCGTGAGCCAGATGCTGCAGAGCCAGAGCCTCATGCTGGATCTTCAGGAAAATGATGAGGTCTGGGTGAGGCTCTACAAGCGGGAGCAGGAGAATGCCATTTACAGTGATGATGTTGATGTGTACATCACCTTCAGCAGGTATCTGGTCAAGCCAAGTCTTGACTAATTGTCTCTCCTCCCTTCCAAAGCCTCTCTGGCCTTCTTCCTCTCTCTTTTTATTGCCCATAACCACTTTTCCAGCCTGTAGCAAGAGCAGTATGTGGATAACTGGGTCCTGGAAGATGTTTGTAGGAGGGCAGAGACTGCGGTGCAGGTAGGAGAGTGTGGAGGATGAAGAAGAGGCCAAGAGCAGTACTTTGCACTGTTGTTCTCCATCTTGCTCTGGAGTCTCCTAGAAGTAGACCCTAGTGCTTCCAGCAAAGCCATACCAGGCAATGAACAGAAGGTTAGAAAGAAAAAAGACCCCAGTCACATCCATAGCTCTGTTGGCTCCTTTTCCATAAAGCTCAATATTGTGAGCATCAAAGAGTGTTCCTTCTTCTGTGATTCCTCAGTCCTTTAGCAATCCTCTGTCTCCTCACCGGGTTTTCTCACCACTTCTTACATCTCTCCCTCTGATGTCACACAGGGATTGTGTTCTCTGCTTCATCTTGTAGGAGAGAAAGGAGATCGAGGAGAGCCTGGGATGCCAGGGAAGTGGGGCAAAGAAGGGCCACGTGGAGAGCGGGGTGCCCAGGGCCAGAAAGGGAGCAAAGGACAGATGGGCACAGCAGGTGATCCCTGCAAGCACCAGTATGCTGCATTCTCTGTTGGCCGCAGGAAAGCACTGCACAGCAGCGAGGGCTTCCAGGTCTTGATCTTTGACACCGTCTTTGTCAACCTCTACAGTCACTTTGACATGTTCAATGGCAAGTTCTACTGCTCTGTAGCTGGCCTTTACTATTTCAGCCTCAACGTCCACACCTGGAACTTCAAAGAGACCTACATGCACATCATGCGCAACGAAGAAGAGACAGTCATCTTGTATGCCCAGCCGAGTGACCGCAGCATCATGCAGAGCCAGAGCCTCATGCTGGATCTTCAGGAAAATGATGAGATCTGGGTGAGGCTTTACAAGCGGGAGCGAGAGAATGCCATTTACAGTGATGATGTTGATGTGTACATCACCTTCAGTGGGTACCTGGTCAAGCCAAGCCTTGACTAACTGTCTCTTCTCCCTTCCATAGCCTCTCTGGCCTTCTTCCTCTCTCTCTCTCTCTCTTTTATTGCCCGTAACCACTGCAAATCTCTTAGAAATGGGCCTGTGAAGTCTCAGGCATTGAGTGTGAAACTTGCTGCTCTTACTCCCACCTCACACTCTCTAGCAGCCAGGCCTATAGCTGTGCATTTACAGCATGACACTATCATCTCTCATACCTCACCTCATGACCTAGCTTAAGTGATTGGCTTGTTCTAAATCCATGAGCAGGATGTGGCTGGCTTGTAGGGTCCTAAAGTGGGAGGAAAACTAAGATGTTGTTCCTGGAGATGTGTCCTTCCTTGAGATTTCCTACACAAAGGACTCCCATAGAAAGGTCTGGAAATTCCTTGTTGCCCAGGTGCATGCTGGCTTCTTTCTGTCCCTGCAACGTGGCCCTAATGCCAGCACTCGCACCTGTAGCTTTGAGAGTGGACTGGGTTCTACTGGCCTTCTTTAGAACAGAGGAAGAGGTAGGACTGGTGGGAGATGATGCTGTCTTTCCAAAAAAAGGTCTGTTGGCCTTTCTGTTACATCATTGGCTTTCCATAAACACCATTGTGATGTCTATGGATCCTGTGGTCCTTCCCCAAGCTGGCTGTAAAATTGTGGCATAGGGGGACAGTCCTCCACTGTGCCAGCTCTAGCTCTTCTGGGAGGTACCAGGCTGGACATTCAGCCAAATAATTCAGAGATATCTGCTGTTGAATGAGTAGAACCCACCACTCTGTTCCCATTAAACCACAAGCACAGGACGAGAGACAACCCTACAAACCATTCTCCCAAACCTGTTGGGGTGCCACTTGGTCTCGGTTCCCCAGCTGTGGGAAGCCAGCCCAGTCCAGAAAGGGCTTTCCCTTTCCCAAGTGCATTTTGGTGAACTTGATTCTGCTCACTTCTGTGACAGAGATGCACCTTGGTACCAACGGCATGGCCCTGGCTCCTGCATGCTATTATGTCATTCTTCCTGAAGGTGGTTCTCTCACATTGGTGTTGAGAGACTGCTGTTTCACAACATGAGCTCTAGGGAGCTGCAGGTTGCAAGGCCAATTGCAGTTAAACCACAGTTTCCAGCCCTGGATGAGTTGGCATCTCTTTGCTCGTGTGATGGAAAAAAACTAGAGGCAAAACAGCGGTGTGAAAGGAAGCAAGACTTAAGCAACTCGACCCATATTAAAAGCATGTGTTGTGTGCCTTTTTCTGGCAATCTCATTAGAGCAACTGAGAAAAACGTATGACTAAAACAAATCCTTGCTCTCCTTGTCAGGTCAGAGATGTTGCAGTGGGAAACGATGCCAGTGGTAGGATATTAGGGTACCATTTATACTGGCTTCACACTGGCCTCATTCACATCCCTCTGGAGATGTGAGGCTGACTCAGCACTTTGGGAAAATCACTTCCATGTGTTGTGATGCTGCCACAAACAGCAGAGTCAAGAGTTGTCTCTTTTTTGAGTCTCAGGACAAGCAGGAAAAACTGTATTTCTCTGCTGCCCATCATTGATAATGAAGTCTTCTGACTTATGTTTCCGCAGTCTCATGGTTAGCCATGTCTATAGTACTGGGACTATGAGAGAGCTCCATTGGAGATACAAATCAAATTATTATATTAGGACTTGATCAGGTACACTCAGCCCAGGATGGCAAAGGTGCAGGAACACAGGTTAACTATTGAAAATGCTTGAGAGAATTGCAGGACATTTTCTCTCTTGCCCTGCTTACTTACCCTCCCTGTTCTCCTAAGGAAGCTGTGCAGACTGGAATGAATTTCAGGTACTTTCTGGCCCCTGATCCTCTTCGCCGTTGTCACTGATGCAAGGTGTATAAAAAAAAGGTTTCGCCAAGGTGAAGCTTTTCCAGGGAACCACATGATGACAAGATCATGGGAATGGAAGGAAACTGAGCTTCTTCCTCTCCCTTAGTAGGAGAAGTGTATGGAACTGCTCAGACACAGGATTACAGGCAGTAGAAAGGAAGAAGCATGCTGAAAGTGATGCTCAGGTCTGAATCCCTTTCCGTCTTCCTAAGCCACAGGCTGCAAACCCAGGTATTGTGTATTTACAGTGTATAGTGCCCCATGTCTTCCTGAAGAGAAGCAAGCACTGAATAACACTGAATATCTCCAAAAACAAGCTTCTATTTTCCTCCTTTTCTGATTGTTTGTTTTTTTTAATTCCAGTGGTAGATCTCATGTGTTACTCAAGAGCATCCAGATGGTGCTTGATGCATGTGGTAGAGGAAGACAGGTGGGCCAAAGGATATGTTTAACAGGCTTCTTGGTGCTAAACAAGATGGCAATCCCTTGGTGCTAAATAAGTTTTCAGTTTTGGTTGCTTTCTGGACGGTATAATAGGCTGAGTTGTAAAGTACTGTGGAATTAATGGTGCTTTATGTTACAGAAACAAACTCTGAGAACCTTTGTGTGTGTATATATATATATAATTTCATTGATATTAAACTTTTTTTCCTTGGTTGTTTTGCACTTAGATCTGTTTTTTTCTTCCCTGTCTATCCATTCTACCTCCAATTGTAGCTAAACAGTGCAATAAAAAAGATATTGTTCTGAAAGAAACAGGTACAAAGTCTAATTCAGCTGTGAAACTTCCTTAGGAAATCCTTGGCAATCCCTTTCTGTTTCCTTAAAGACAGTTGCTTTCACAGACACTTTCAGTTATGACAGCTCTCTTCTCTCTCCTGGGATAGCTTTAAGCAAATTCAGGGCAGAATGCTTTGAAAATAACCCAAGAAAAGGATTAGAAAAGAATTAGGATTAATCTTCAAGCACTTAACTAATTCTACTGAGAAAGGCTGGACCAAGGCTGGACTTTTCCAGAGGGGATCAGCTTCTTTGTCTTGTTTCAATTTTGGTACATCCTTCCATCAGGCGTATAGTAAGCATGATAAGAGTGTGTTCTCTCTGTGGTGTCTGTTTTCTCTGCCAAGAGGTAAAAGCCAGGATGTGCAGGCAATGGGGACATTAAACTTTTGACTAGACATCTGTACGTTTAACAGTGAGGCTCCAGATTCAATCTGGACACCTATTTTGGAAGACCTGAGCGTAACACAAAGATTCAGATCAGAGATGAAAAGACAAGTGACAATTGCACATGAGCTTGGGGAAAACGTTGAAATTGAGGGTTAATGGGTGGGAAGATTTGGAGTCTTGAATGGAAGATCTAGGAGGGATAGAGTCCCAGGGAGGGAGATGACTCTTATAGGAGGTCTCAGTACAGGTAGAAGAGGTAAAATAGTCCTTGGGGTTTGAACTGGTTGGACAAACACTCCTGATTAGGTAGAGAAATAGGCAAGAAAACAAGAGCAGATGCCCATATAGGAGCTTCTGTTTTGAGATTCATTCATCTTCAAATAGCTTCTGCTGTGGTTTGACATGTACCAGATGCTCCATTTGGCAAGGGGTGGAAAACATAACCATATGCCTTACAGGTCTCTTTGGTCCTGTGTCAGGCCCAGAGTTTGGGCTGTGTGTATGCTAGTGAACGTGACACTTTGTCAGACCTGAGACAGACTTTTTTTCATCGTTTCTTATTTACTTCTGAGAAATGTATCCTCAGGAAATGCCAGGGTTGTGCTTGTGCATGCTCCTGGCCCCTTGAGGTAAGATGCTGGTAGATTGGAGGAGCTTCTGTCGCACTTGAAAATACGTGGATCAAGGGAGGAGGGGAAATGTGCAGTCAAACCTTTTAGAAAAGCTTTCTGCGATTCAGTCCTTCAGCCTGTCCACTTGGAGAGAAGAATGCTGTCTGAACAATCTGTTCAGCTCAGTTCTTCAAGGCTATGATAGGTGCACCACTGGCAGAGTCTGAGGCCCATGCCACCCATCATACCATGGTTTGACTGGGGAGCTGACATAGGTGAGACTCAGCTCAAGCAATCTGGACCCTGCAGTACTGTAGGGAGAACAGTTCTAAAGTTGGAGACATCTCTGTATCAGTGGATACAGCCATGCACTGAAGGCCATGAGACCTCCAGTCATGCCATTCACCCCCAGTGCTGTGTTCTCCATGCAGGGTAGCTGCTTTGCAACATGTGAGCCATGTGATGGCCAGCACCTCTCTCTTAGGTGAAGCAAGAAGCATGTTATGGGGTGGGAACCTCTCTTCTCCCCTGAAGGAGAGAATTCCAAGCCCTGTTGAAAAGAGCTCCATTGCTTTGTTTCTAGTTTCTGCAAAGTATAGAATTGAATTGTACAATCACAGAATGGCTTGGTTTGGAGGGAACCTTTAAAGATCGTGTAGTTCCAAATCTCCTGCCATGGGCACAGACATCTTTCCAGATGACATTTGATCAAGTTTCTAAACTTCCCAACCCACCTGTTCCCTTGGGAAGGAGCATCCACAACTTCTCTGGGCAACCTGTCCCGCTGTCTAACCACACTCATATTAAAAAATCTTTTCTGTATGTCGGGCTTGAGATGTGAGCCCATGAAAATCTTATGAAGGTATCTTCCACGAAGTTGGCCCTTTAAACTGGTTTCCTGTGGGTTTGTGGTCTTGAAGGTATGAAGGGGGAGGATAGAGGAGAGAGGAGGTAAAGGGCAGGAGATGGTTCTGTCACGGAGAGAGGAAGTGCATGTCAGAGCCAGCTCAGGAGAATGCAATCATTTCTTGTTCTGTGGTAACAGTGGGAAAAGGTAAGAGAGGACCAGGGCAAGAAAAGGGGAATGAAAGGCCAAAAGGGTGGAATAGAGTTAGTACTTGAGTGGGAGGCCCAGAAGGAGTCCATCAGCTCTGCAGCAGGAGCCCACATGGACACAAGTGTGAGTGCTTGCACCCCAAGCACCATGGGTGAGTCATGGGGAAAGTCTCAAGCATCCCCTTGAGCCTCAGCTTAGCTTCCAGCCGCAGTGCAGGATCTGCCGCATACTGGGGATTTCTGTACCACTTTGGAAGCTCTCTAACATAGCTCCAGCCTGCTCTCATTCCCAAACCAGCTTCATTCACACCTCAGTCTTGTGGGCGAGTTTTCCACAATGGTTAAACGGGCGTTCGCTGGGCCAAGCAAGGCTTCAGAGGCCATCTCAGAGCTGTGCTCTGTTGTCACACCCACACATGTGTACACACACACATACCAACCCCATATGGACATCTCTTGCCTTCCTGCCAACGGAAACCATTGCCCTTTGCAAGCCCAGCTCACTTTGAAGATGCTATCAGAAGGTGGGTAGAGAGGGGCTGAGGAACCAGGCTCTTCTGTACAAGTACCGCTCCCATTGATGCATGTCTCCTCCACTCCCACAAGACTCTGTGATCTCTCTCTTCAGTTATACATACCACTGTGAGGAACAGGCAGAAGGTCCCACTCAAAGGCTTCTGACCATTTCTTAACCCACAGACCAGTTCAACCTCTTTGTGTCACCCAATTCACAAATGACCAGGGAACTATTGCAGAATCTCATGCCTTTTCATATGCGTTTTCACAGCGGCTAAGATGGGAGGGAGCAGGATGGAGAGCAGATAGGTCCAAAAATTTAAGGGGCAGTGGGCTGCCCATCTGCATGCAAGGCTGCAAACCCAGCACTGGATGAGCGGTGTTGGCTTTTGATTCATGCTAACCTACTTGCAGCCATACCTACAAGAAGCAAGGCTTGTCTGCATCAACCTCAAAGCTGTTAATATGCCTCAACGACCACAGAACCCAGCAAACATAAGCAGCAGCTTACCTCTGAGGAGTGAGAATGGTCTAAACCTCACAGGTTGCCACTGAGGACTGTTGCAATTCTTCAAAGAAGTCGGGGTGGGAAACACCCATCAAAATAGAAGGAGGGCAGCAGGTCTCCTGCCTCACTGAAGCTCATCACACAGGCACAATTTTTCACTAACCTGGTTCCCTGCTCTAAAGCCCTGAACACACTCTGGGTGTTTCACAGAATAATGTCCTAGGGCAAGACTTGGGCCAAGCACCTTCAAAGGATGGGGTCTCTCTGTTCTTCTGCTCTTTTCCAGCCTTCTTTACACATGGTCCAACGTGGTGATGTGAGGAAAAAGAGAATCATTGAGTCATAAAATCATTAAGTTTGGAAAGACCACTAAGATCATCTTGTGCAACTGTCAGCCCATCCTTACCATGCCCACTAACCACGTGCCTCAGTGCCACATCCACATGGTTTTTGAAAGAAGGAGCAAAGGAATCTTTGGGTGTAACTATAAAAATGGGTAAACGTTTCATGGGATGCCTGAGGCTCACTACCTGAGGCTCACACATGCTTTTGTTGGCTCATGGCACCCTCCCATTCACTTCCCACCCTGACACACACACACTTTTTTTTCCATGTGTCCTTGATTCTTCTTGTGAAGCAGTGGAATGGAGCAGATCACTAGAAAGGATGGAAGCCCAGCCTGCCTGTGCAGCCACAGGCAGTAACAAGCATATCTTTTGGGTTATGGACCCACACACCACTCCACACATGGTCCAAAACACTCCCCAAATCCTCTCCACATGCTGACTCCTGCTTCTTTTCATTTGGGGTTGGAACTAAATGACCTGCTCTGAAAGTCCCTTTCAACCGAAGCCGTTCTATGATTCTGTGATCTACTCTGTCGGTGGCACTGTTTGAGTTTCTAGAATACTTTATATAGACTTTTGCAATTGCACCACATTTTCAAGGTTATCCTCCCCCCCTTTTTTTATATATTTCCATTTGTTCGTGTACTTCAGTCTGAAGCACTCCCCTGACCCCAGGACAGCTTGCTTCTCCTCCCCCATCCATAATGCTGCCAACAGGGGCAGAACCACTGTGCTTACATTGCAATGGTCTGCAGCAGGCAGCGACTGCAGTGTGCTGGGTCAGTGGTGGGATGGGCGATGTGAACTCGAAGGAAATGAAGAGATGATCACTGCAATGCCCTCTTTTTGCTTTAGGGTGGTTTTTTTTTTTTCCACTTTCCTCCCCCTCTCTAAGCTCCCGTGCCTGCTTTAATCACCATTGCGGAGCGCTGTGCAGAGAGATGGCTGAGTACAAAGTGCAGGGGAAGCAGTGGGAGGGTCAGGTGAGGACTGAGAAGGGCTAGAGGAAAAGGTCAGTGACGCAAACCCAGCGCAATGGCTCTCCTTCAGCTGAGCTGCTCTGCCTTTTGTCCGCGGTGCGCTATTTCTTCTCGGCAACAATTCACACATCTGGGGACCACAGCTCCTTCCACCACCCACGCTCTTCCTCCCCCCTCATGGGGGCTGAGGCAAGGGAGGGGGAAGGAGGAGAGCTGCTGCATGGGGCTGCCAGCATCGTTTCCAAGACGGAAGGGAATAAAAGCCTCAGAGCAGTCCTTCTCCACAGCCAGCTTCCCTCCAGGCACTGAGAACCTGCTTCTTGCAAAGAAAGAAAGGGGGGTACTTGCTGATGGTTGGTCAGATAATTACATTGGCACTCCTGTCCTTGAAACATAGAAGCTATGGTGCACATTTCCTTTAGCATTCAGGTCTCACCTGTGGCTGAGGGATGGGATCCTGGTGACTGTG